CCAGGCGTGAGTGGTGAATGGAGGCCTCATCAGAAGGACCAGCCCGGAGGCTGTGTCCGTGTAAAGCCCCACACTCAGGGGCAGGGAATGCTGCAGATGGGACCGACTTTGGGATGGCCAACCCCAGGTCCTCTGGCCCCCACCTCTATCGCTTTGTTCCTTGTTTCTGCCAGGTTGTGGTAGAAAGTCACCCCTGTTTTCTCTTATCCCGTCTCCCAGGCCAGCCTTGGCCATCAGGTGATGGTGTAATTAAGCTATTTTAACAGCTTCCAACTTATTAATTACAGGCTGCTGTGCCTTTCCCAGTGCAGCTGGGAATGGTCGGGAGCTCTTAGAAGGCACCACCCCGGCAGGTCACTTCACCTCTCTGTGCCTTAGTTTCTCTAGGTGCCTGCACTCACAGGCCCCTGCAGGTGTCACTGTGAGTTTGTTGTGGGCAGTTAGGGATGCAGCCGTGAGTTTCCAGTTTCAAGCAGTCTTGGAAACGATATTGCCTGCCTCACAGCCCACCTCAACCTTCCTCCCTCCCTGGACCCCGCCACTGATTCCACACTGGGCTTTGTACATACAGAATCTGGCAGAATCACAGCCTCCTCTGAGGAGAGAACTGGCTGCTACTAAAGCAGATGATGACTTGGTGATAAACGGTTTTATTTCATCCTGGTGCATCTTGGGGAGTTTCTCCCTAGGAGAGAGCCTGGGGCCTTAATGCTTCTTTGAAACAGATTGTGGTCTTCTCTGATTGCCCAGTGACCCAAATTTGCCTTAATTCAAGGGAGCCAGAAGAAGAAAAAATGCACTAGGAAACTGATGCTTAGTCCTTGCCCACCTCCTGGACAGCAGTGTGTCTGCCTCTGTCCTAGAGCCCTACACCCCAATTCTGAAGATCCAGGAATAATCACCTCCTCCTGGGAATACTCCTAGCTGGACTTATCATGAGGAGCACATGTTATTCACAGGGTGCAAACTTGAGTTACTGACTTCAAGAGATGTAGCCAGGGCCCTGACTTCAGTCTGCACTTGTCCGCCCTCAAACCTCCTCCTGGGAATACTCCTAGCTGGACTTATCATGAGGAGCACATGTTATTCACAGGGTTGCAAACTTGAGTTACTGACTTCAAGAGATGTAGCCAGGGCCCTGACTTCAGTCTGCACTTGTCCGCCCTCAAAGATTGACGTTCTGCTTTGAAATTCAGAAGGTCCTGTTGGTTTTTTGGCCTAAACAGTCACAGGGAGTCATGAGGCCCTCTCATTTAGGGCCCAGACCCTTGCCAGAGTCTGTCTTTCAAGGCCTTGGACAATGGGATCCATGTCCAATCTTATGTCCCCAGCACCACTTGATTCGCCCATCCCATCAACTCACCACTCCTTTGGTGGTATCGACCCCTATCAACCATTAATTAATTTCTTTCTTCAAGAAGGGAGGCTGCTGCTGATTTGGGCTGTGATGTGGCTACCTGCCATTTACCAAGGCTGGCAGGCTCTGGCAAGATCAAGGTGGCAGCTGAGCGTTTGCACAGCTGAGCAAGGGGGACCCTTCACTGGGCTGGGAACTGCTGTTTAGTCCTCCTGGGTTGGAAGAGCAATGAGCATTGCAAAAGCAGCTTTCTGTACCCTTGGGGTGTTTGTTTTAAAACTGGATCTGCAGGGTTTACTCTAGAGATTTGCATGTTAGAGGGAAACAGGGAGGTGCTGAGCAAGTTCTGGCTGCTTTTGTTTCACCTGGTATAGGGATAGACCTCGAAGATGGATCTCAGGGCCCATACCTAACCTCTTCATATCTCTCTCTCTCTGTGTCCCTGGCGATACAGTGAGGGAGCATTTTGGAGGTCTCCTGTGTACATCCAAGCCTGAGGGATTTTAATTTGCAGAGTGCTGGTATGTCTTAGTGAGGCAGGAGATAATAGGGAGGAGGATATGAGCTTGGAATCAGACTTGAGTTCAGAGGACCAATTACTCCTGTGTGACCTCGGACAAGTGAGTGGATCTCTCTGAGCCTTAGTTTCCTAACCTAGAAAATGGAGATGACAACAGCCACTTCTGAGGATGACTGGAATACTGCAGTGACTTAACGTATGCAAACTGCCTGAAGTATCCAGTAGGCGTTCCCTTTCCCCACTGGAAGAGAATTCTAGAAGAAAGCTCCTGTACCTAAATTGCATGTTGATTCCTCTCTTTCTAAAGGAAAAGAAGCCACCTTCAGGTGTCCATATCCATCCCAGCCACTTAAGAACAGTACAGCCTCAGGTGAGTTAGAGCCTCCCTGCACCTCAGCCGCCTCATCTGCGCAGGGGGATTATGAAACCCACCTCGCAGGGCTGTGATGGTGAAGTGCGTGTGATCAGCAGCATGGTACCTGGCACCAGGGGATGAAGGTGGGCCGATGTGGGCTCCCACTAGGAGGTCACAGTCCCAGAGGCCTGCCTGCATCTCAGTTCTGAATGTATCTCCTCTGAGGGTGGTTTCAGTTCCTCATCCTCCTCTTCCTTTGTCCTGGGCATATAGCTGAGGAATCGGGTCCAACAGCCTGTCCTCTGATGTTTTCTCATTCAGGACTCCTCAATTAGGTTCTTGCCCAAGTAGGCCCAGGAGACCTCCTCTGACCCTACCTGTCGACACCTTCCTTTCTGCTCCAAGGCCCTGGAAGCTCTACTCCCATCCCTGACCCATGCGGGCTTGCTTGATGCTCAGAGCAGGCCATATGAGCCACAGGTGGCCCAGCTCTGGGGAGAAGTGAGTTCCAAGCCCTAGGTGGGAGGTTACCATTGTTTGGACACGAATGGGCCCTGGAGCCTGCTTCTTCTTTCATTCAGAGTATCTTCCTGGTGTCAGGAATGTAGCAATAAATAAGACAGGACCGCTGACGTCAGGGGATATGGGCCAGCTACGTGCAGGCGAGAAATGCTCCAACATCCAGGCAGGGACTGTCACGTTCTGAACTGGGGGTCACAGGATTGCCCAAGGAGCACCTCTTTGTGGAGATCCAGCCATCTTCTGCAGCCTCTGGCATTGGTGCTTGTGATGACAGTTGGTGTCACCATGTTAGAATCTAGGTTGGCTCAGGAGAGAAGACAGTGTGCTCATCGTGGGTGGGCCACGTCATTCCTACTCATGCAGAAGACAGTGCAAGTCACTTAGGAGAAAAGAAGTCCCAGAACATGGAAGCGCACAGTTGTACAAACGGCTGGGCTTTGGGCTCATTGACTACCAGCCAATGCCTCCTGGGTGCCCAGCACATTTGAGGCACGGCCCAGTCTTTTATAGACTCTTTTTTTGCAGCCCTGCAAGGTCGGCAGTGGGCTCCCCATTTACAGATGAGGAAACTGAGGTTCAAAGGAGGGAAGTGCTGTGTTTGAGGTTAACCTAACAAAACATGAGATGATGGCCTACCTGAAATGTCCAGTCATCTAGCTTGTTCTAATTAATTAGCTGAAAAATAGAATTCAAAGAAAAAAGTAGTAAAAAATACCCAAATTCTTGAACATTATGAGAATATTGAAAAATACATAAAAGGTTACAAGAAACAGTCCCATGGGATTCCAAAATTACTAATTCTTAAAAAACTAGTGACTGAAATATCATTTTTTGGCCAAATCATCAGTTGCCCAACTTTGCGTTTAGATAAATTACTCCCAGCCAGAAAGTAAGTTCTCCTCTTGAACAGCACTGCCCAGGACATAGATGGCCTGCCATCCAAAGCATGAATCTCCTTGGTGAGAATCTCTGGCTCTTACTCTGAGGTCAGCACCAGGATGACTGTTCTGGAAGAGAAGTTGAGCATTTCTTTGTTTCCCAGGATCCTGAGAACCTGGTGATTCCCCAGTTAATCAGAGCAGTGCTACTCAAAGTGTGGTCCAGGGGCAGGTTGGTCTGAGATCCAGGGAGTAAGAGTGAGTAAGAGTGAGCATGAGAAACTTGCAGAGCACCTTGACATCACCACACATCTAAGCACGTGATCAGATTTCTAGCCATTTACTTTTATTGTATCCAGAAGTAGCAAGCCACAATGAAAGTTAAATTAGAGATTTAAAGAGAAGAAACAAAACCTGGTCATTGCCTACAGATAGTGTGAGGAGCCCTGAGCTAGCAGAAGCCAGCCAGTTATATCCTCACTCTCGTGGAGCCCATGAGGCCGTCTTGCTGTCAGGAAGTAGAAGGTCACCCTCGACCTCACATTGGTCTTTGGAGTGTGTTTCAAGGCCCCCTTCTCATCCCTTGAGACAAATTCTCTCTCACTTGGCTTCCTTGTGACCTCCCAAGGAAGCTCTAGTCTACCTCTTGTTGACTCTGGGATGGTTTCTATCAGGTTGGGGAGGGCAGGTGGGAGGCCCCATGCTGATTTCCTTAAGAGTGCTTTTATCCTTTTTTTTTTTTATTGGAACATAGTTGATTGTATATATCTGTGTGGTACAACATTAATTAATATATTCTTCATTATACAATGTAATTGATTATCATGGTCCTCTACCAATTCCTCCCTTTCCCTCCTCCCCTGTCTTTTCATTTTTTAAAAGAAAGTCACCCTCTCACAGTGGACACATGGATGCCACTGGGAGAAAGGAGCCTTTTGGCCTCATAAGGAAAGGAAGGACCCAGGAGTGGTCTTCGTCCTGGGTCCCCTGGCCAGGTGACTTAGGCAGGGCCCTGTGCTGGCAGGACGATCAAGCAGATGTGTTTTGGCAACACCTCTGAGCAGCCTCCCATCCCTCTGCATGCTTCTGTAATTGCTCCCTAAGTCAGGATTGCTCAGAAGCTCAGTAGTACAAAGTGCTTATTAGCTAAGTGGTTAATAAGGTCTCATTAGGGACTTGCATTTAAAGCCCCAGAAAGTACAGTCTCAGTCTCTGCTAACTCAGCGGAGGCAGTAATTGTGCACGGGTGTCATGGCATCACTCTGGTGCCTTTCTAGGAGAATGCAGTGGCACCAGCTCACACACTGGGCCCGTGGGGACAGCCGCTCAGGGGCTGAGTGGACAATACTGAGGGTAAATCTGACCTTCCTCCTTTCCTTCCTCTTCATCTTGATATAAATCTAGGAAGCACCCTGTATTCCACAGCCCCTATTTGAGGGCTGTGTTGGGGGCCCCTGTGGGGGATGGGACGTCAGGCAAACAATGGCTTATTGTCCTGAGCCAACACACCTGAACCTTGCCTGAAAGCAGGAGCCAAGTTTCTTGGCATTTGTAGCCTCCTGAAAATGGCAGGGAGTGTGCTTGGAAACAGAATCCTAATCTCTCCCAGGCTGGGCCAGCATGGGAGCAGGGGTGGGAGGGGCACCTGGCCTGGCAGCTGCTGCTCCTGTAAAGTGGCAGGCTTTGCAAAGTCTGATGGCTGTCTCAGCCTGAGGAATCAGCCACTCCCAGCAGGCCTACAGCCACGTTCTCTGCAATTTCCAAGAGCCACACGCATGATCTGGAGTTACTATTCCAAAGTTTCTTTAAGTGTTGGTGCTTCCTTAATGAGAAAAGGCACAAGAGTCTCCCAGGCCTTGTTCTCACCCGCCTGCTGGGCATCCCTTTCCCTGTTCATCCCTATTTTCACTGGAGTGGCCACATTTTCACTGGAATCTGATGAGTCTGCCTTAGGTCCTGAGGCTGGGCACCACTGCCAGGAGTTGGGAGCTGTGGCAATCCTGCTGTAATTTGCTTTATATTTGAGGCTTTACTTATTTATTGGATTAGATGTTGCCTCCCAAGAGCAGCCTTGGGTTTAGATGGAGCATGTTATTTTAGCCACATACAAGTGGTTGTTATTTGTTGTCCTAATGGCTACCAGCCTTTGCCCAAAGGCCCTGCAACCTCAACTGCTGCTGTCTGACCACATCTCCCAGAAGCTGGATTTGAGGCTATGGAGGGTCTGGAGCCTCCCTTCCCTCAAGGTCTTGGGATCAGGAGCAGTGTTTCTGGAATCTCATACTGCATGTGATTGCTCCCCTAAGAGGAGACTGCAGCATTCCTGGAGGGCTTTCAGAGCCAGTGGGGAAGGGGGAGCAGGAAGGGGTTTGCTCATGGGAATATGTGTGATTGTGCCGTGCTCTATTTGGACTGCTGGCTTCCACCCCCTCCCCAGCTCCTCGACACATTGGTTGAATCCAGGCATTCATGAGTGCACTCGGAAGCACAGGCATCTACAACACGTCTTCAGGCAGTGCTCCTGGGAACCCACATGGAACTGCTGCCTCTTGCTCTCTGAGCTGGCCTTGCCCAGCATTGGGTGCTGCCACCTGGGGCCTGCTGTGGAGCTCCCCTTCTGCTGCCCCCACCTCCCCAGAGTGGGTCCGTTCCAGCAATTGCTCTCCTTGACAAGGTGGTCTGTGATCCTGGTGGGAGGGACTCAGATCAGACACAGACTTTGCACCCAGGAGCTGCAGGGAAGGCTGGGGCAGGCTGAATCCAGAGGACTACAGGAGAGAGGAGTAACCTGGGCCAGCCCCTGCTAAGTGCCAGGCACCCTGGCACACATGCTGTCACTGTCCTTTCCACAAATCCAAGAGGCAGGCACAAAAGCCTGATTTTCCTAAATGAGGGAACTGAGCTCAGGAGTTCAGTGCTTTGTGCCAAGTCTCAGAACCGGTTGGTGGTGGAGCTGGGTCCCAGCCGTGCCCCCGGGTCTGTGAGGCCCCACTGTTCACGAAGCAGCGGCCCACGGCTCTCTGAGGAGGAGGGTCCCTGGACGAGGGCGCTGCAGGTTAGCCTTCTGTCTCTGAGGGCTTGGTTTCTGATTTCTTTCTTTCCTGTACTCACTTCTCTGTCTCGCAGGCTTTTGGAGGTCACAGTAACACGAGTGCTTACAGGCCTTTTGGTGGTTATGGGGCCTGAGCAGCAAAATTCACCCCAGCCCTGGACGAGAGAGGCTGTGAAGGCTGCGGGGCTGGGGTCGGGAGGCTTGAGTACCGTCCTGATTCCTGAATTTGCTTAATAGTTGTCCTTGGACAGCTCCCTTCCATTCTGGGACACATTTGCCCCATCTGTGTGGTGAGAGATGCTAGGAACTCCTGAAAGCCGGGCACCCCTGCAGATGCAGCTCTGCTGGCCACCTGGTTCACCCAGGACCGCAGCAATTTTGTTTCTTGTTTGTTAATCCTTTTAAACCAATTTTTTTTACTGTGTTAAAATACCCATAAAATAAAATTTACCATCTTGACTATATTTAAGTGTACAGTTCAGAGGGATTAAATACATTCATAATGTCATGCAACCATCATCACCATCCATCTCCAGAGCTCTTTCAATCTTGTAAAACTGAAACTCTGTACGCATTAAACAATCACTCCCATTCACTCCCCACAGCCCGTCAACCACCCTTCTACTGTCTGTGTCTATAATTCTGGCTGATGCAGGTACCTCATATAAGTGAAAACATCTGGTATTTGTCTTTTTACAGTCTCAGGGTTTTATTTCTTTCCTTTTCTGCGTCTCCAGAATGCCTGCTGTCTGCTCCTGGGTTTTGCTGCTCGGGGACATTGGGTGCTGTTTGCATGTGGATGTGGAGCCCTCTCCCACCTCTAGCCTGTTTGCATGTTCCTTCTGGTGCTAACTGGCCTCTGCCTTTGTCTCTGTCTCCTCCACCTCCACACTTGGTTAGCTGACGGTAGGGAAAGTGTCCAGCGGAATAGGGGCTGCAGCTGAAGTCCTGGTCAATCTGTACTTGAATGATCACAGACCTAAGGCCCAAACCACCTCTCCAGACCTGGTAAGGATGTGCACCCCTCAGCCTTCACCCACAGGCACTGTATCTGGTCTCCTAGGGAGGGTGCTCGGGATGCAGAGAGGATGGCCCAGCCTTCTGAAGGCTCCCCTTCTCGCAGGACAAGAGAGGGCTGCGAATGGGGTGGATCAGAGCAGAGATTAGAGGCAGGCTGCATTTCCTTGAAAACAGACCTTGATCAGGCCCCCTGTGGGTCATCTCCAAGACTGAGCATCGTCCCTGCTGTCTGTGGCTCTGGAAGACTGCTCGGTGAAAAGGCCCATGTGTGGCCGTCCGCATAATTGGACATCCGTTATCTTCAATGTTTAGTGCCCAACCTGAATGGCCCTTTGCATTGAGCTGAAATTAGTAGCAGAGAAAACATCCCTTTCCTTTGAGTTCTCCCTTCTCCACACTAGGCCACTTGCTGTCATCACCAGCAATTTGAGTTGATAATTCTTTTGGGTTCCTTTTGGCATGTTCCCCTGGGATCACCCAGGCATACCCCTGCCCTGGCCCTCCCCCTCCCCCTTTGCTTTTAGGGATTTAACTGGCAGCCTGTTGGGCTGTCAGAGGCAACCTCTGCCTTTTCCACAGTTCTTTTGAACAGATTTGATGCCACAAGCTTTCCTTGCCTGACCTAAGTCACTGCAGGGGCACAAGGATGGTGAAACATCCTCAGCAGGGCAGTTTCAGTGACCTCACTCTAGAGGCTGGCAACATGTAACCTGGGTACAGATCCCAGGCAGACATGTGAGTGACACCCACTCTGCCAAACCAGGCCACATCACTCCAGAGCAGCCAGCCTGGGGAGGAGAGCCCCTCCCGGGCCCGTCTTGTTGCTACCTGCCTGTCTGGCAGTAAAATTAACAGCAGCCCCTGCAGGGTGGGGTCTGTGTTGGGAACGTGCCTTCCCACCCCTCACTCTGTGCTGCAGTGACAGGAGCACAAATAGGAGGCCCTCAAGGTCCCTGGGACTCAGTTTAGAATTTCTGAAAGCCTCGACCTGACATTTGAAGACTCAGTGCAAGCCCCTAACACACTGCTCTTCCCTCCTGATCCCCAGGAATCTATGCGAAAGGCGTTTCCCCTGAACCTGGGTGGCAGCGACACCTGTTACTTCTGTAAGAAGCGTGTGTACGTAATGGAGCGGCTGAGTGCTGAGGGTCACTTCTTCCACCGCGAATGTTTCCGCTGCAGCGTCTGTGCCACCACCTTGCGCCTGGCCGCCTATGCCTTCGACTGTGACGAAGGTAACCCCCAGGGGCAGCACAGCACTGGGCTCTGGCCTTGGCCTCAGCCTCAGATGTGGCCTCGGTCTGGGCTCCCATCCCTCTGGAGGCTCTGGGACACCCAACATTTCCCCAGCAGGGAATAGGATGTCATCAGGAAAGCTGTTTAAGGAAAGTGAGAACTCCTGCTAGAGAGGTGCTGCCTGCAGGCTGAGGGAAGGGAAGGAGACCAGCACCTGTGGTGTGTGGACTGGTGGGCACCTACTGTGTGCTGAGGTGTTATGTACCCCTATTTAGTCTCCCCACTTTCCATTGTCCCTGTGTAGCCAAGAAAACAAAACCTGATGACCTGTGTAACGTGCTTGGCACACCTGGCATGTGATAGGGTTCAACAAAGGATGGTTTATTAATATTATTTATAAAGTATGTGTTATAAAACTAACCATGAAAACATGCCCTCTGAGATGTGGCCTAACAGAAATCACTGATGTGGGAATTGTGTTGCTGGGAGGAGTGATGATTTCCTAGTTTTCAGCACTCGATCCTTGCACTGTCATACATCACGAGAGGTGGCACAGCATAGGGCTTACGGTTACATACCCTCAAACTAAACCACCTGGCTACTAGCCACATAACCTTAAACCTGTCGCTTAATCTCTTGATCATTCCGTTTCCTCATCTGTACAATGAGGATAATAGTAGCACTTAGCTTGTAAGGTGGTCGTGAGGATTGATAGTTCACGTGAAGCGTTTAGAATAGTGCTGATATACAGTGAATCCCACATTTCCCTATTGTTACCATCATTACCATCACTGTTGCTTCTGTGGCAGCCTTGAGCAAGAAAGTTCTAGAAGATGCCTGTGGTCGTAGGCAGCAGCCAGTGTCCCCAAGTGTGTCTACCTGAGTCTTTTGCTCCCACCGTGGCTGCCGTTTGTTCTCAGCCTTTCCCACCCTCAGGAACTCCTGATGGGGTTGATACTCAGAGCTGTCCATTTTGCTGCCTGGAAACCGGTCCTGTGGAGAAACCTGGCCTCCGTTTGGTTTGAGGCTTTCAGCCCCATCCCCAGGAGTCCTCCTCTCCCCCCACCCATGCTGGTGCCTGTCTCCAAGTCAGCAAAGGGTCTTCCTGCCTCATCTCAGCACCACTTCTTTAAGGCAGGTAACAGAAGCTGTGCACATGTTTGAGCCATCCTAGGCTTGTTTCCATTGTTGGTGTTTTCTGACTTGGACAGTGGTGGGCACTTGGCTTTTGTCTGCTGTGGTTCTGGTTTACAGGAGAAAGATCTTTGTGTGTGTGTCTCTTTTTACAGGCAAATTTTACTGCAAGCCTCATTTCATTCTCTGTAAAACCAGTAGCAAGCAACGGAAGAGACGGGCAGAGTTGAAGCAGCAAAGAGAGGTATGTTGTCTCAAAAGTGCTGGTGAAACAGGGAAGATGCTTGACAGGAGACAGTTTCCAAGGGTTCCTCAAAATTAGGCCAGCTTTTCTGGCCCTGGAGGGATTGAGCCTACTCACAGATAAAAAAGAGAGCCTCTTCTTCCTTTGTGGGTGTTTCCTGTGCCTCATCTGTTCAGCCGGGCTCTGGTTGTTGCATTCCACACACCAGCTCCCAGGTGATTGGCTGTGCTGGCTTCCTGTAAGCAGCCAAGAAGAGCTTGCCCAGGTGCCAGGGACGGGACTACATGCCCAGCTGTGCAAGAGCTGCATGGTCTGTCTATCCGTACCTGGGGCCCACCTGGCCACAGGGTGCTGCTTGCAGGAATGCTTGGTACGGAGTTGTCCTTCCACAGGGTTTTCACGTCCTTTCACAAGTTCCTGTATGTCAGCAAAGTGACCAACCCATTCAATTTATAACTGGCTTGTGGTGGCGCCCCCTCTGGCAGCTCTTAGCAAGTACCTTCTCTCCAGCTTAATCACTCACCACCAGCAAGGACCCACCACTTCAAACTTTTTTCTAACTACTCAAGTAGTATAGGCCAATGTCGAAAAATGGGAAAATAATAAAAGTATACAAAGAAGGAAGATTAAATCACCTATAATTACTCTATCCTGAGAAAACTACAATTAACATTTTGTAACATTCCCTTCCAGACTTTTTCCTCTGTTAATATATTTTAACCTAGTTGGAATCCCATCTCCACGGTTTTGTATCCTTCATTTGTTTACTAACATTATATCAAGAACAGATTCCCATGACCTTAAAAATTCTTTTGGAGTGTAATTTTTAATGCCTGTACAATATTCACTTTTATGAATGGTCAATAAATTATTGCACTAGTCCCATGTTAAACCTTTACATTGTTTGATATTTGTATCTTACGAATATTCTCACAATGAACATCTTTGTATGCATATCTTTATCCATATTCCAAATTATTCATATGTATCATTAGAAGTGAGTTTGCTGGTCAAAGAGCATGTATGTTTTGAAGGCTCCTGAACCCTATGGTCAGTTTGTCCCCCAGAAAAGTCATGACCATATTCAGCACCCCCCTTTGGCAGTGAATGGGGAGCTGAGATTACTTTGGGGACTGGCTGCAGAATTCAATTTGTATTGTCTCTCTTAGCTGGCTTTGCAGAGGAGTCTTCTCCAAGACTCATGCACTAAATGCCCTCATTTCAATCTCTTCCTCAGGAGGAGGGGACGTGGCGAGAGCAGGAAGCTCCTCGGCGAGACACTCCCACCGAGAGTTCTTGCGCAGTGGCCGCCATTGGCACACCAGAAGGCAGCCCCCCAGGTATCTCCACCTCCTTCTTTAGGAAGGCACTGAGCTGGCCTCTCAGGCTGCCGAGGGACCTGCTTGACTGGATGCAGGGACTCCTGCGCGCCGCCGGCCTCCATATCAGGGACAATGCTTACAACTACCGCTACACGTACGAGCTCCTGAGCCTTGGGCTGCCGCTCCTCTGGGTGTTCTCTGAGGTCCTGGCCACCATGTACAGGGAGTCAGGGGACTCCCTCGAGAGCATCTGCAACTGGGTGCTCAGGTGCTTCCCAGTCAAGCTCCACTGAAGCACCTGGATCCCCAAAGTGCCTTAACGTTTCCAAAGTTAGACGGTAATGTGTTTGAACTTTGCTAAGGCTCTGGCCAGGAAGCCTAGCATTCTTCAACCAATTAGCTCAAAGCCAAAGAGTTTCACGTTGGCCACCTCCACCTGGCCTCATCAGGGTGAACATCTGCTCATGGTGCTAGGACCGGGGGCGACATGAAGGATATTTTTTATACCTTTGTACTTCTTTTATACCAAAGCGAGCCATATTTCTGGGTTTACATTTCAATTTTTAACGTTTAATAAGCCAAGACAAAGCACTTTTTTCTATGAGTGTCAATTTTTCTAAACATGGATTTGAAGTTTATAACCATTTTTATAAACCCTTTCCACATTGCAGTGAGTTGTAATGTCCACTGCCTGCAAAGTTAATGATGGGATTTTATGTACACAAAAGTGAGCGTGCCATCTCCTGATCAGTGCCTTTCAATTTATGTACCCGGATGCCACTTGTCAACAGAGGGCAATTTTTTGCAACACATAAGCATAATTATTTTAGAAGAAAAGGATAGACGGATGAAATAGAATTAAACCTACAAAAGCACATAGTAGTGTGTAGTTGGCTGTTATCTGTCTACCCAGAGGGAGGAAGACTTTTTTGCTCACTTGTTTTGATGTAAAATAGTAGCTTAAAGGCTTTTCCCCATACCAAACCACAGCCAAAGGACAGACAACCACTGGTTTCAACCAGATGGCTACAAACATACATTTTCCCTTCCCACTAATGGGCACTGCAGTGAGAGCCCATGGGCACTTGACCATGGAGAGCTCGTCAAGCTGATGCAATGCTAAGGACAAGCTATTTCAGCTGGTGACATTTTAAGCCCTGGGGTTCCCTATCAAGTCCCTCAGCCCAGGCTGAAGGCTGAGCCAAGGCCACTCAGGATCCATAATGGTGAGGCTAAATGGAGTGGAAGAATCTGCTCTCTCCCCATGGTGTCCCTTGACACTGAGGGGGTTTGTTAGCACCTCAGGGTATTGCTGGGAAGCGTGGGCTGCCCAGTGAGCTCAGCCATGCAGCAGCCTTGCATATCTGGTCAAAACAGCCAGAAGCATTTCCCACTGCCCTAGCAAAGGACCTTCTGGGGAAGCTCTACTGTAACTTGACTGGCCAGGAAGGCTGGGAGCAGAAGCTGTTGACTGACTGCCTCAATGGAAATATGCCCTATTCAGGGCAAAAGTGAGCACTGGACCCACCTGCATTCTTCATGCTGGGTATCCGGAAGAGTCCTCAGCTCTCCCCACTTCTCTCTGCCAGGGCACACGCAGCTGCAGGGCCTGGTCAAACCCTCGAGGGTCTGGTAGAGAAAGGCCTTCTACGGTGCTTGACGCATCCAGAGTTGCTGGGCCCAAGATAGCTCTGTGCATTTGCTAACGCTAGCAATTCCTCTGGATTATCTAAGGAGGGAGCCTGTGTGGGAGAGGAGCCAGAGCTCTCAAGAGTTTTGAGGTAACACGTTTCTACAGGGTGGGAAGAAAGTGGGTGGGGGGTGCGTTTCTACAAACACCCCTGAATCCTTGAGAAAAACAGAGGCATGGCTGTGGCTAAGTCTGCGGGAAGAGGCACCTCGGTCCTTGTTGGAATTGTCCTCAGTTTGATTGTCCTCACGTTGTATGTTTTCTCATTTTGAGTGGGATTTTAATATTCAACATGGTGAGAGGAGCCCTTGTTTCCTTTTATGTTTGATTATAGAAAGTCAATCCTGACGTCATGATGTGAACAGCTGTGTTACTGTGATTATCGTCAGCTCAGGGTGGGCTGAGATACTTTGTGGGGTGCTCCATGGAGCTAGAGTGGGCATCTCTAAGAATGTCATTTATGGCCATAAGGAGACTGATTTGAATTACTCTGGCGAGACAGGTGTGCCTGTCCAAAGTCCGATATGTTCATATGATCCAAGATCTTGAACCTTCCTGGTGGGCAACACCGATACGCATGGCTGGATTGGGGGGACAGGGAGTGAACACCTCTAAGCCTCCTCAACACATCCAAGCATGAATATGGTTGAGTGAAATGGGGACAGAAGGTCCTGTGGGCACTTGTAGCTCTCAGTGGAGTACAGTGGAATGTTGGCGATCTGCAGACTACACGTGCCCACTCTCGTAAATAAGTAGCTGGTCACTTCCAGAAAGGTTCATCTCTCCTAAGCAAGCAGTGATTTGTTCAGGGGAGGTTTCCCTTTTTTAAAATAGTTGCCTATTTTCAATTCTGGTGCCTTCTCGTGTTGTCATGCATTTTCCTTTTTTTCTCATACTAAGTTCTCTTTTCTGTCTCTCTCTCTCCAACCTTACACTGTGGCCGTCAGTTCATTTCAGCCTTCCAGTGCTACACCCACTTCTTGGCTGACACACTTCTGCTCTGAGGTGACTGGTTTTCTTGCCAATTTTCAGAGAGTGGTACTAACCCCTAACCTGCTTTCTGCACCCCGTCCTCCCCGCCGGTGCTCCTGGGTGTGCTAACTGTGAGTGTCTTGCATACTAATGGACTCATTCGGTGGCATAGGCAGTTATGTGGGGTAATGTTCAGCTTGAAGGCATGTTCTGATTCCACTCCCCTGGAGCCGACCGCCCAGTCCACAGCAAGTGCATGCCCCGCCTCCCCTCTGTTCCCTGCACCAGCCTGTGTGCATGCTTTGTCAGTTGTGCCTGCGATGCCACTTACCCTGATTGTGAGACAGTACCATAGGGAGGGTTCTGTTGCCATGAAAAGGACACTTTTGTCTAGCAGCTTCTGAAAACCTCATGCATACCAGCATCTTCTTAAATTGATTCTAATATACAGATTACTAATATCATTGACCAAAACCATAGGTGATTCTTTTTGGAGGGATTATTAAAAAATATTTACTCCCAGGCTTCATCACAAGCTTGACCCACACTCTGTACTTTGAATACGTAATCACAATTATTCTAGCAAATCCTTTCTCTATTGCACTATAGATCCAAGGGCTTTGCTGTGGTTCTTCTTACCTCTCTTGGTTCATAAAGCCCCAGATGAAGCAGGAGCTTCTGCTGAGCAGTCATCACCCCAGAGGAGGGATGTATTTGAGAAATGACTCAGTTCAGCCTGGAGCAGCCAGTTTAAATGCCCCTGTGGCTCTTCTTAAAACATATATTCCCGCTGACTCATTTACCTGGAGCAGCAAGACAGTCAAAGTGCTAATAAGAAGAATGACACACCAAGCACCAGAGAGCTGTCACAAGCCAGGCCTGGCAGTGTCTGTCCTGCATGTGGCTCTGAGCCATCCTGACCTCCTGGCGTCTGCACAGCCTGCCTGCTGCACCCTTGCTGCATGTGTGCAGACCCTGGCCAGTACCAAGTCGTTGCTCTTATCTTCTTTTGCAGAATCTCCCTCCCTTTATAGAATGTCAACCAAAGAGTGCCCTCCTCCTTAGCTAGCCACCTCCTTAACTAGCCTCCCAATCTCATCGCAAGGCATGTCTGTGACCTTTGGTAATCATTTAAAGTGCCACACAGAACCCTGTATTTTGCACACAGCAAACAATGTTTAGCTTTATTTATGGTATTTGATGCTGTAAATGGAAATAAATATGGTTCTTTATAAAGCTCATTGTTTCCTCTCTTCTTTGCCGTGGAAGCTTCTAAAACCTCAAACACAGGGATTGGTTTAGGGATCCATCTTCCCTAAACTGCTGGCGAGACTTGCACTTGTGGTGACACGGGACTCTCTGGGGCTGTGCTGGGGAACTCTGAAAGGAAATATTACCTAGGGGTAATATTTGGAAAATATCACCAATGCTCCTGGGCCAAGCTTTCTTGAAATCTCATTGACTCTTGAAATCTCCCTGGGGTCTCTTTCTTGAAATCTCATTGACTTTGCTATTCTAGATTCTGGGCATAGTGGGTGAGGGTCAGCGTCACCTCAGCTGTTAGGAACAGACTGTATTGACAGCTGCCTGCGCCTATTTCTTCCACACATCCAAGCCATGGCCCTATAGGAGAGCTTTACCTATGAACCTTTCACTAATTTAGGCTCTTATACAGTGAAGCAAGGTCTTGGACATTTCACGCTGCCCAACTGAGTGATAGGTGATGAGTAAGGAGGAAGGACTGAGTGTTGGTCTCAGGATGGCCATGAACATATAACAGGGTTGCTCATCAGATGGAAAGCCATTTGCCATCCTAAGAAACTTCCCCTGCCCCCAAAGGCTCAGGTCATTCAGCATCTTATGCTATGAGGCTCTGCTCATAGGGTCTGTCTGTGTACAACACCCATGGCAGGCTCCGGCCCAACTGCAGACTGTGTTTAAGGGAAGGATGTAGCGTCTCACTCAGCTAGCCTGGGCAGTGCCAAGGAAGTCCAGTCCTCGACCTCTCCAGGTGGGATGCCTGCCATTGCCTGGCTGGATGTAGCTGGGCTTCTGTTGCTGGTATGAAAAGTCACCTGTGAACTTTGTGAGGGCCCTGGCACCTCTAAAGGGGCATTTCTGGGACCCTGGGTCTCTAAGTCCAGCTGCTGGCACCTGGATCTGCCTTCAGAGCTGCCTCAGGTCATGAACAGGGGTCCTGTGCTCTTTCCCAGGTGAGATACTCTTTCCTTTCCATTCAAGGAAGGGTGTTAGGGACTGGATGTTAGGTGCTGGGTTGGGCAAGTGACTCATTCTGTTATGCATTCATTGATTCAACATTTATGTGTCTAGGCATTATTTTAGGCCCTGGGATACAGCAGGGAACCGCACAAAGTCCCTGCACCTCCAACATCTTCTAGAGTATGCACGTCAGTATTGCTGTACTAGATCTGACTTGTTTTATTTGTTTTATCCATGCATGTGCTCATTTGTCTATTCAACTAATATTTACTGAGCATCTGCTATGTACTAGGAATACAGTAGGTGAATGAAGCAGACAAAAAATCCCCTCTCTAGGGAGCTCACAGTTTGAAGTTTTTTATTTGAAGTTGGGTTAAAACAACATTTTCCAAAGAGTGGTACCCCAAGAGGTGCTTCATGAACAAAGGGTTCCGTAGTCACCAAGTTTGAGAAATGTTTTATGCCTGCCAGTCCTCCCAACCTTGGAGACATACTAGATGTGTTAGCATGTTATGTCCCTGAGGAGTCCTCTAGTCAAGAAGCTTAATTAACTTTGTTCAAGTCGACTTTCCTGTACCTATTTGAAGATGTTTCTGTTTTGTTTGGGGCTCTTCAGATATTACAGTCTATATAAATAATGTTTAACAGAATATTCTTTAACCCAGAATGGATTAGAGACATAAAATTTTTAAAGTAAAATAATAGAATTAAATATTACATAGTAGATCATGGGGTTTTAACTTTCTAAGCTTTAAAAACTCTAACAGAAAAAGTTACATAGGAAAAACATGACACAAATCTGACTACCTACATTTTAAAACTAAGCGTATAATAATAGAAATGAAAATATTAAATAGGCAGTCAGATCAGACTGGGGGAAAATCTGTATTAAATGTAGTAACAAAGAAGTTCATTACCATGGTATTTAAAGAGTTCATTTAAAGCAGGTGTTCACAGGCACATCACCATGTAGGTGATCAGTTAATATTAATTGATTAAAGACCAAGTGATGAAGAAAACCAGTGAATAAACAGTTGACACTTCAGCTACTTAAAAAAGTAAACACTAAAAAGAAAAAGCAAGCATTTACAAAAAAATGTGCTTACTTGGGCTTTTAAAGGATGTACATTAGTTATGCTGCACCCACTAAATTAGTAAAGAAAAAAAGTGAAGTAGATTGTAAGAAAAAATGTGAACTTAATCACCAGTATTGAGTCAAAAGTAAACTGGGACAATCTATGTCTGGTAAGCAATATGGCAACAATTATTAAGATCCAGAAAAGGTCTCTGACCTGTCGGCCCAGTAATCCTACCCCAGGGAATTTATCTTAAGGAAATAATCCAGAAGAAGAAATAAATCTCTGTACAGCTTGAATATTAAGTACAGTAAGTGGGTCAACCAGAGTGGGTGGGCTGTTCTTTACTTCTGTGAACACATTCGTTTTTACAACTTGTAAAAAAATTCCTTAAGTAAAAGGAATTTCTGCTGCTTTTACTGCCTCAGGGCCAGCTGTTGTATATCGAGCATCCTCTCTGTGCTGGTGCTGAGCCGGGCACTTTACGTTCAGCTCCTCAGCTCCTCAGCTCCTGTGGCAATCTTGAGGTCAGTACTGATGTTAAAGAAGGTCCGTGATACTGGGGAGGTGAGTCCCGAAGGACGTCTTCAACTTTGAAGGAGCAGGGAGACACGTGGGGCCCTGGCTGGGACTCAGGTGCCTGCTCTAAGGGGAACCTTGGTGCAAGGGCTGACCTCCCAGCTTTGACTCCCGGCACTTGGTACTGACTCAGTGGCCTTGTGAACTTCCCTTCTGTGAACTGGGCTAATGATGCCTCTGGTGCAGGGTTTCGTGAAGGTGGAATGGGTGAGCGTGCCCAGTACAGTGCCTGGCACTCAGGGCAGCAAGAGCTCTCTGTCCAATTCTAGACAGCACTTTCCTGGTTTTGTGCAGCAGGGAATGCCCCCAGGAAGACTTTCTCAGGACATTCTAGATTAGCTGGAGCTCATCTGACAGCACATCTGCAGGTTGGGGACTAGACAGAGGTCTCAAATCACACTGGGTGGCACTATCTATCTTTCTCTAGCTTTCTGATTTCCCAGCCTTCTTGCAGACAACCAGCCACCTCTCTTCAGACACCCAGGCCTCAGCTCCCCTCCCCTCCTGCCACCTGCCAGCAGGACTTTCGTTCTGCTTTAGTGAATGCCCAAGTCTCAGCAAAGAGGAAGCGCAGGCTCTCGCTGTTTCCTGCTGTGACCCTGCAACTCCACCTGGCTGTCTGCTGGTCATCTCGACCCTTCATTCTCCCCTGAAACAGTCTCCACGGAGGCCTTCCCCATGGCTGGAAATGGCAGTTCTCCTCTTCCTGTCGCTCAGCCCAAAAGTCTTGGAGTCATTCCTGACTCTTCTTTCTCTCAGCCCCACACCCAGTCCACCAGCAAATTCCAAGAACATCCAGACCCTGTCCACTTCTTGCCACCTCCACGCTGCTTGGCCCCCGCCACTGTCATCCCGCCCTGCGTCATTGCAGCAGGCTCCTGTAAGGCCTCCTGCTTCCACTCTCATCCCTCAACCTATTTTCAACACAACAGCTGGAGTGACCCTTTAAAGATTTCTCAGGTCTCTCCTCTGCTCTAAACTGTCCAGCGGCTCACTCAGCGTAAATGCCAAAGGCGTATAATGGATTCAAGCGCTCTTTGTGGTCTGGCCCCTGTATTCTGACCTCCTCTCCTGCTGATCTCCCTGTTCCAGCCACGCTGGCTTCCTTGAACTCCAGGCACACTCTGCGGTAGAGCCTTTGCATTGGCTGTTCTCTCTGCCAAGAACACCCCTCCCCAGTATGCCTGTGGTGACCCCACCCTCTCTCCACGTCTCGTCGTGGTCTCCCTCTCAGTGAGGCCTGCGTCTAGTACTGCCGCCTGCACTGCCTGGCAATCCTGCTCCCCCGACCCTACCAGACAGGTTCTCTGTAGCATTTACCACCTGCAGCCACGTTGTGCAGTTCACACATTTATTGTGTGCATGGTTTCTCCATGTTTACCCCCTCACTAGAACCTAAGCTCCACATGTGCAGGGACCTTTGTTTCTTTTGAACACATATAACCCAACAGTTAGAACAGAGCTCAGCACATAGTGGGTCCTCAACAAATACTTACAGAATGTATGCCCTCTGGCCTGGCCCTCTGACTGGGGAGCATGCAGCAGTCCTGGCCAGGGAAGCTCTTGCTGGCGTCCAGCCATGCGTCAGGGGAGAGACCTGGGGGAGGAGAAGCAGGTCGCTGTGCGTCCAGCTGCCCTCTGCAGAGCCCTTTGATTGTGAGGAGAGAGTTTTGATTTTGCTTTCATTTTGCCTTCTGAGGGTGTCATCTTCACAAACATCTCTTGGCAGTGGCAGATGGGGTTTGGGTGCCCCCTCTCAGGGACAGGCCTGAGGTTGGCAGCAGAGAAGTTCCAGTGGGAACTAGAACATTAACTTCTAGTTTGGGGCTTCAAGGCTCAGGCCACTGGGTCACACACATCTTCTGTCAGCTCCTCACTGTCCTCTGCTCTGGGGTCCTGACACAAAAGTCCAGGTGGCAGGTTTGAGACGGGTGGGGTGGGGAATGCTCCACCCACCACCACCTGGACTGGAGGGCGGGGCTGAAGCTGCCTCTGGGGCCCCCACACCAAGGCATGTGGGTGGCTCAACTTGGCTTTGATCTCCTGAGTCTAGTCATCCTGCAAGTGCCTGTAACCAAGACCCAGAGACGCTGCCTGCCCAGCAACAGGAGAAAGAAGCTGACTCCTCAGCTTGGTGGGGGCCTAGAAGTGCCAGAAGATCAGGTTTCCTCTCTTCCACCCCCAACCCATGCCAGGCCCAGCCAGGCCAGGGCACAGTCCCTGGCTTTGGAGACTCCATCGGGGACTTGTGGCAGGGCCCACATTCCCACCTGCCCTGAGGTGAGCTATAAGGATCCTGGCCAGGGGCTGGTATTCCCCTGGTGTGTGGCCACTTTCCAGGATGAGGGATCTGGGGGAGGAGCA